CAGGCGGGTCTCGAACCCGCGGGTTTAGGCCATCCACTTACCTCAGCCTCCCAAAGGCGCAGGATTACAGGCTGAGCCACCGAGCCCGGCTAGTAAATGGTTCTTACTCCTTGTTGATGATTTGTCTTAACTGTGTCTTCAGCACCTAATGAAATGTCTGGCACATAGTTGGTACCCAGAAAGTGAACAAATGAATATTGTATTGAATTGCTAGGATACGTGACTCCTAAGGAATTCAAAACACTTTCCAGGTCATCTCCTGTCTATACTTAGGTCGCCTTATGGAGACAGAATTCTGATCGGTGGTGGAATTAACTACCTTAGAACTACAGTTGTTACCACCAACCAGCCACCAGAGTGCTTCCCAGAGACCTGGGTGTTTGGTAGGGAGCAAGGAGATGGTAAGCTCTCCCTATGTATTAATAATATGTGACTGACATTTATCAAGCATTTGATAGGCTGGGCACTGATGAGGGCCTTGTATGTCTTGACTTGTTTTAGCCTCATAAGCCCCTCAGAGATGTAATATTGTAGTTTCCATTTTACACTTGTGGTATTGTTATACCTGCTGTGTTGTATAGCACCTGAGAGAGCCCCTGTCTTACCTGCTGTGGTCACCTTCCCCCTCCCAACCCCTCATTCTTAGGTTGTCTCTTGTTATATGATCAAGCTAAAGAGGGACTTTGCTGTGATTCTACACTCCTAAGCCTCGGACCTAGGGTTTGACCTCTGACTTCCATCAGGAAGGTCTCCCTGAAGTTGGAAGGCCTCTCCTAGTTAAGTTAGAAGGCCCAGAGTTCTTCAGTTGCTGGGATCCTCAGTCACTGATCCTCCAGGCTACCATCTATATTCCCTGTAGCCTCTGAGTTGGAAGATGGTAGATTTGGAAGTTAGGGCTCAAAAACTTTAAAACCAAACCTCAGTGTTCATTTTCTTTACTTTTTTTTTTTTTTTTTTTTGAGTTGGAGTCTCACTCTGTTGCCCAGGCTGGAGTGCAGTGGCACACTTATGATCACCCCAGCTTTGACCTGCTGGGCTCCAGCGATCCTTCCACCTCAGTCTTCCAAGTAACCAGAGCTACAGGCATATGCTACCATGCCTGGCTACTTTTTAAAAAAAATTATTGTAGAGAGGAGGTCTCACCAGGTTGCCCGGGCTGGTCTTGAATGTGCAGGCTCAGATAATCCACTTGCTTCAGCCTCCCAAAGTGCTGGGATTACAGGCTGAGCCACCGAGCCCAGCCTCTGTTCATTTTCAACACTTTAGTAGCTGA